ATATAAATAGTTACCAGCCTTCCTCCTTAAGCTCCAGTGTTGTCCTCCTGCCTCTCCTGTGAGGCCCAGCAAAGTGCTACCATGGTGGGGGTGGGGGGAATGTGCTTACATGAGTTTTGTCAACACCCTTAGATCTCTCTCCAAGACAGCCTCAGCTAAAGAGGAAAGCAAGAAAGCAAAAGTAATGTCAACATGTCATTCTACTGCTTCTCTGCGGCAGTCCCAAAAAGTCCCAAGGGTGGGTCAGCTCTCCAAGGCACCACAGGGGACGAGGACCGAGCTCAGGCCCCAGCTCCAGGAACCTGTATCTGGGGCTTCTCCCTGCCGGCGATGATGGATCTCAGGGAGAACTTGTCCCTTCGGATACTTTTTCTTATCTGAAATCCACCTTCTTACAACTGAGTATATTTTTGACATGCTAATAAATTTGTTTTAAAGTCTTCTAGTACTTAAGAAAGACATCATTTCAAACTTCTATCTTCAGATTGTTAATTCTTTCCCAAGGGGGTGTTTACAAAATCAAGGATTCCTGCTAGATTATAAAGTACCTGAGAACAGGGATTCAGTTTTAAGCTTATTCTAACCCCCCACTGTGCTAGACAGATAGTTTAAACTTAACAATGTATGTGGAACCAATTAATCTTTTTATTTTTTCTTGCAACGCAATGGTATGGAATGTTATTCCTTGGACTTACTTATTCACCTGTGTTCTTCACCTCTGTTAATGACCAAAAGCAATACCGAAGTAAATATTAATTTGTCCGCTTTCAGCTGGGGATGGCTTTTTCTGCCTCTGACAGAAACTCTGTTATCATTGAGGGTCTAGTGAAAAGTGTGTTCAGTGACGACTTTCTTCTTTTCTTTAGGGTGTTAAATACCACATTGTTTGAAAGTTGGGAGATCGTTGGACCTTTCCCTTCCTGGTGGGTTTTTAACCTACTCCTGTTGCTAGTACAAGGCCTGAACTGCTTCTGGTCTTACTTGATCATAAAAATAGCTTGCAAAGCTATTTCCAAAGGCAAGGTAAGGTAAAAAACACCCTTTGTAATGTCTCATGTTTCGGTTTTTTATTTTTCTGAATTAGTAAGAAGCTTTTATTTCAAATTTCATCAAAATGTGTAATATTTTCTCTCAAAATTTGCATAGCTTCCTTGAAACATTAATCAAATTGTCATTTCCTCTATTTAATTTTTAAAGTTTTGGCTTTACTTCACTGATGGTAGTACCCAGGACTCTGCATTTATAATTTTAGATTTCATTTATATTATTTGTTGTGCTCTTTTTCTCCCTCTATCTCCCTTCACCCTCTCCTGGTGATACTTACACTGAACAGGAATTTAATATAAGTTCTTCCTGCTATAAACAGGGTTGCTTATCACTGCTTACCCATTTATGATTTTCTCAATAAAATTTATTTAAATATTTTTAGTAAAAAATGGAGTCATGAAGAAGTTTAAATAAAGCTTCTTGACTCATCCTTCTGTGTAGTGCAATAACTTTTCTAGACCGTTCTCTGTGATATTTTCTTACATTATTTGTTCTCTTCCTTCTGCCACCCTGGAAGGCTGGGAAGTGGAACCCTTTACATGTAAGTTTCTCACTCCTTTCTTTCCACACTTGTCATCGTGCCACATTAGCCTGTTGGAGGGGCACCCAATTGCTTTTGTTCCCATGCATATAGTTCTCTCTAATCTGTTGGCACTGACCAGATGCACTAACTGAGGTGCAGCCCTACCAACTATAAAAGGTACTAGGAACACCTCAGTTCATGCCCCTGTGTGTGAGCTGGCATTCCTTTAAATTTAGCATGATCCAACAGAGAAGAGGAATTGCTTTCACTGGTGTTTGGCATGTTGGCCCAAAAGCAGAAATTGGCCAAAGTGAAATATGAGAAACAAAACTGAGTTAGGGAGAGGATCACTAGGGTCCCGATGGAGACCTCAGAACAACACGTGACACCTTGTCTTCGGTGAGCGTGCTCCTTCCATGGGGGCTCAGACATCTTATCATGTAATCTAAAGCCAATTTTCAGCATCAGTACTTAACATAAATCCAAAATATTTAGATCAATTAACTGCTTAAAAGTGAAAGTGTTTATCTCTGTGACCTCTTACTCCGTAACAGGAACATGTTTTTCTATTGAAAAATGTTTCTGTCCTCATTTGGATACAGATTAAATCAATGTGGACAAAATTGTCAATAACTGAAGACATAAGGGCACTGTGGATTAGATTACTTGTGTCCTTATTGCATTGCCATTTCCACCAGATGTATCATCTTCTTTCCAACTTATTCCTTCAACTTTACAAAAAGACAAGCATTAATTTCATTCCAGATCTCAGGCATCAGAATATCTCAACTGCTATTGCTAGCATGTTCATCTTGGCCATGAGTTATGGACTCTGATTTCCTGTTGGGTATTTTGAGACATTCTAAATTATTCCTCTCTTTGAAGGTAACATAAGTACAATGCAATTAAAAATAATAAACTAAGAATGCACATGTAAATTAATCATTCTCTGAAACTGGAGTTTTCTTTCTTGTTAATACAAAATTTATAACTAATGGATTTCTAAATATAGAGATTTACTAGAATGCTGTCTTTCAGACCCATGTTCTTTAAAGTTAAAATGTCCTTATAATCTAGTTGTTTTAGTACTTTAATATCAAAATCTTCTTGGAGATGATCTTTGTGCATTTAGTTTCATTTTGGGGGACATTAGAATGAGGACCATTTTACCCATATTCACTCGGTCATCTCTGCTTAGAAAGGTATACTAGTGTCCAGCTCTTTTTTTTTTTTGTCCAAAAAGAAAAATTATATTCTCTTGGTAACAGTGGCGTTTTGAGTTGGAAAACATCAGACATAGGAAATTGAATGTCTTTTAGTACTTGAAATAAGTAGGTTTGTACCAATTTCATTGGTCCAAGCTCACCAGAAAGAGTACTA